TCTTAAAAAAAAAAAAAGAAACATAATCTTATTTTCTTATCTTCTGTCATTTTTCCTCAATGTTACACTCTACAGTGTTGATCTTTAATCCTTATACCACATCTAGGAATCATCACTCCAAATTATAAAGAAAATAGGTTAGAACAAATACATATCTTCATTGATGCAACCTTAATCTCCAACAAAAATCTCTAAGACAACGGGTTCGTCGAGTTGTCGTCTTCCTCACTCAAATTACTAGATCTTAAATGGGGTGTTCTCTCTCTAGATGAGGAAGAGAGAAAACGGCTGAATGATTTGACATCTTGAGGATCATAACCTAAGTTTCTTTATATATTGTTCCATTAGGCTCCTATTATACTTAATTATGTCAATATTGGATATCCACCCATTTAGCCAATACCCTGTTAGGAGATTTTTTAGGCTCTTCACAATTAGATCACTCAATTAACCCAATTAATTAAATAACGTCAATATAATTGTTATAAATATGTGGCCCATAATTATTATTAGGAAACGTAAATTCCTAACTTGCAGTTGACATTCTCCTCTCTTCTTTCCTCTCTTTGCTATTTCAAAATTACTGTAGCCACCTTTCTCTAAAACAAAACCCTAACCCAGATAATAATTTTTCCTTGTCATCTTCTTTCATTCCCTCGTTATGATTACGCATCAATTGACTGCGTAATTGTTGGTCGGTACGTAAGTTAATCAATCAATGGCGTCAATTTGTCTATGACAGTTTTTAATTTGGACAACAATCCCAAAACCTGGCTAACCCAAACTGAGAACACCACGAGTAGAAGATTTACTCATTAAAAAAACCCTACATAGATATAAGAGTGCATATTTTGTCCTTTTGGTGCTTTCACGGCTTTTTTTAAACTCCATTATTCACTCTTTTTTCTTTCTTTCTTTTTTTAAGATTTTATCTACATTTGTCTCTTATAATGGCGTTTTATCTCTCTTTCTTTTCTTTCTTTTTTGATACTTTACTTTTTCTTACTTTTTTTAATTTCTTTCTGACTCTATTTTTATTTTCATTAATTTTTTACACCAATATATCACTACTTTTTCTCTTTATATTTCTCTTTTATTTTTTTCTCTAGTTTAACGTGACCGCTCTTTCTCGTATATTTTTTTAAGTCTCAAATCTCAACTTAATTTCTCATTAGAATAATCTCCTTATTTGTAATCAATTCTTTTTAATTGCAATTAGTTTATTTCATTCATGTGGCTATTGTTTATTGCATAGTAATCTAAAACGGTTAGATTTTGATGCTTTACTTTTTTTTTTGCCTTTCCCTTTTTAAAGTTTCAACTCTCTCTCTCTCTCTCTCTCTCTCTCTCTCTCTCTCTCTCTCTCTCTCTCTCTCTCTCTCTCTCTCTCTCTCTCTCTCTCTCTCTCTCTCTCTCTCTCTCTCTCTCTCTCTCTCTCTCTCTCTCTCTCTCTCTCTCTCTCTCTCTCTCTCTCTCTCTCTCTCTCTCTCTCTCTCTCTCTCTCTCTCTCTCTCTCTCTCTCTCTCTCTCCCCCCCCCCCCTCCTTTTTTTTTTAATATATTGTTATTCATATTCTACAATATAGAAAGTTCAATTACAACTTAATACATACGTTGCAAGTGCCTAAACTAGTACTTTAGAAAAACATCCAATTAACATCTTAAATATATCAATTCGTATTTACTAGTAAATGACTAATGTTTCTTGTTGTTTTTGTTTTCACGGGACACACGGAATACTGATGCTTCAATCTATTTGAAATAATGATGATCAAAAGAATAATTTGTACTTGTATTTTTCTTTTTCTTTTTATTTTTTATGAAAAGCCATGCGTATTTTTCAAAAAATAATAAAAAACAAAAACAAAACAAAAGATAACGTGAACAATAAGGTAGACCAAAATCCACCATAGGCCATAAAGATATCTCGCGGTGTTAATTCTTTGAAACATCACAACATATCAAAAGTCGAAATATATATAGCTCTCAAGATTTAATTATGATGCTGACGGTTGACGAAATTCATCTACAGAATAATAACGAATTTCTTTATCATTAATACATTAAATGAAAAAAACACAATTAAAAGAAATTAAATAGTAAGAACACATGAGAATTATAGTGATTCACTCTCAATTTGAGAACTACATCTGTTGTGGGGAGGAGAGGAAATTCATTATTTTGGAAGAGAATACACGCACTAATGTTCAGAATAAAACTTAAGGATTTTCTGACTCATAATCCGTTATTTATAGCCCAAGTCACCGCCCATAAACTTTCTCTATTTGAATTTTGGTTATTTCTCTTATCTTTTGATATAGTTTCCCAAAAAATAGAGATTACAATCAACCAGGACAATTTCTTTATTTAAATTTTATATATTTTTATAAATAGCAAATCTTCGAGCAAGTCTCGCGAATCTCATCTGTTGCGTAGCCTCAACTGCGTAAACGCTTTCAGAAGCTTCTTCGCTTTCAATTACGGGCACGGTCGGCTTCATTTTATCATTTGTATCCTTTCAGAGCAGTCGACCTACTTTATATGCTTAGCATTTTTTTCTAGCGATCGACTCCTAAGAGAGTTGTCCACTGACGTGTCAGCTAAGATTGGGTTGTTATTAATCATTTAATGCTCCTATTTAATGCGTATGGATCACATACAAGATTTAAATTAAGGTTCAACATTTTACCAAACAACACTGACATTTGAGGTCCATGCCTTCTGCTTCTACGTACTTAGGCTTTTCTTTCTTTTCTTTTTATTTTTTTATTTTTTCCTAGGTTAAATTCTACGAACCTAGTAGATATGTCATACTATATTAATGGTACACACGTGATAACGATAAAGAACGTACAACGCTGGTAGTTGAAATGAAGGTATCAAAGCCCCACTCCTATACATCAATGTAAGATATTAGAATATTTCCATATTGAAAAAGTTTACAATTAGGGAGCATATCATGATCATCGGAGAACGTATAAGAAAATCCAGGATTTACGAGTAGATTGAAAAATGTTTATCTTTTATTAGTAATTTCTTAATTTACCGTAGTGTAAATCTAATGTGTTGTTTGTTTCAACAATCCAAATCAAAAAATTCAATTTGAATTGTAGTTGAAGGTTCAAATTGATGTTCGGTAAAAAATTAAATGAGAACACAAGTCAAACCATTAACAACAGCTCAAACTCTTAATTTTAAAATTGACCCTCTCCCTAAATTGACAATCCTAATTGTTTTCTACAAGGAAAATAATTCAGATTTTATACTTTTTATCTCTCTTCAACTTTAAACTTAAAAATGTCATAACTTCTTCATTTCAATTCCGATTGAGGTAATTTTTTATTAAATGTTATCATATGAAGAGAGTTACAGATCCTCATCCATATTGCATATTTTTAATGTCATTTATAATGAGGTTTTATAAGATTTATTACAAAACTCTAATGACAATTTTCAACACTTTATTCAAACACAATCGGATTTTTTTCCCAATCCAAACTACAATTTGTTTGTCTATCCAAACACCGGTTTGAATCACAATTCAAATCACTCAAATTCAAACCAAATCTTGCAATCTGAACGGCGAACCAAATAAGGCCTTAGATTTTCAAAGGAACATAAATTTTGTTTTGATGGTAAATTCTAAATTTACACTATAAATTCAGGATTTACGAATAACACAATATGTGTTCTGATGGTTACAAGAATAGGAATTGTGTTCTTATAGTAAATTTTAGATTTACATTGTAAATTCAGTATGTACAAAAAATCACAATTTTAGTTCCTTCGTAAATCCTGAGTTTACATGGTAGAAAGAATGATTAGTAATGAGAGAGGGAAGAAAAGACCCATAAACTACAGATAGAGAGAAAAGAGAGAAAAAGAGATCTAGAGTGAGATAGAAAAAAAAATGAAAAAAGAAGAAGAAAAATGTAATATTAGAAAATAAAAAATTCAAAACATAAAAAGGCATATTAACTTTTATCACATTAATAAATTGGTTATTTACTAACATAAATTCTAAAATGTAAGGTTATTTTTTACAATTTTCCCAATATATAACTTTAATATAATTCCAACTCTACTAGCAATTGTGTCATACCTTAAATAATTTTTGTTTAAAATAAAAATTTACGGGTATGTTTGTTTCACAACTCAAGTTAAGAACTTTAAGTTATGTATATGAGAGAAAAACATTATAGCAAAAAAATTAAATTTAAATTTTTGTAAGAGAAAACACTGTAACAATATCATTTGAGTTGTGACTTGAGTTGTGAATTTAACAAGACCAACGTCTTCGGCGCTAAAATGAGCTTAAAACTCGTTTCCTAGGCAACAATAATATGTAGATTTGTCTAATTAGAAAAATTGATAGCCGGAGAAATTGTTAAAAGATTCTTTAGCAAATATGTAAAATATATAAATGGACAAATTATACGTTTGTCCTCCAAACTATAAACCATGTCACAAAATACCCACGAAGTTCAATTTGTAACATCCGTTCTTCTTGAACTTTAAAAGTTTTAAAAATTTTCTCCTTATAATAAAATTTAAACGGAATTGAAGGCATTTTAGTCAATGTAAATCAGATGTTTTCACTACAACAAATATCAATATCAGTAGCTAACCAAAAACGCTATTAAGCACTACCAATAGCGTTTTGTAGAGTATTAGGACATCGGACTCTATTAAAAGTCCTAAGAATACATAGCGTTCTAAGAGCGTTATGAAAAACGCTATAGAATTGAGGTCTTATAGCGTTTAAGACAAGTTATTTTCAACCTCTTATAGCTATTTAGCATAGCTACGGTATAGATTAATAGCTTTTTTCCTTGTTATGTTCATACTCTTGTAGCTTTTTAAAATTATTATTGATATCCTTTTGAATTAATTCAAATAGATGGTGATTCCGAGCAACATCTTATATCTAAATAGGAACATTCAAATTAAAACATAAAAACATTCAATGTATCAATTGTTATCAGTATCTACAAAGTTGGCAATAAAATTACGTCTACAACATAAGTCATACAATGACCAAAACCTTAACATTCAAAAGAAGTAAAGAAAACAGAGGAATAGCTAGTGATATCAAAGTATCCAAAACGTCTAGTTAAATGAAACGGTGAAGTAAATCCTTCCATCTTGACAAAATGCTTCAATAAAAAAGTCATCTCCACAATTTAACCTATAAGAAAGTGATCCATCAACAAAAAAGTCATCAAACTCAGTTAAAACTTTCACCATTTAACCTATAAATAAAGCAAGGGCTAGTTACACCACTCACAACTACATAGCCACATCCACATATGTTTTGCAGTGAGTTAGAGGAAACATGGCTTCAATGATGTACTAGGCAAAATTTTAATGTCAAACTTTTAAGGCAGAGAGTATCTTACATGTATTGTTATGTAAATAGTTGGAGGCATGAGTCTTCATTGCCTACATTTAAGGAAAGTACCATATGCATATAAATATGGAGTCCTCATTATCACAACAAAGGATTTAGCATCAGATATTGTACACTAGCCGGTGGATAAAGCCTCATAGATTCGTTTATTATCATGCAAAGAATTTCATTAATCAAGCATATCAGGTAAAAATAATCCTAAAAATTACTTAATTCCACGAAAAACTACCAATTTGTCGCTAAATCTAACCTATTCAAGAGACATTTGTGATAGACGTGAAGAGTACAAGGCTTTTCCCCATTCTTACTCTTACAAGAGGCCACAAAATCTATGGTTTTTTTACGGCACTGCAACAATCAACATCAAAATTCATTTAAACTCTAGGCAATTTAGAAAATTGACTACCAAAAAAAAGAAGATCAAATCGTAAAGAAAAATAAGAAGAAAGAAAGGAAAAAACCTAGTGACAACTCCTGCATAAAACCGTTCAGCAAAGCAAAGTAAAACAAAATAGCAAAAGAGCAAAGAAAATCCAAACCAAAGCAAAATAGCAAATTAGCAAAACCTCTGCAAATCAATTCCTATCCAACAAATCCTCCAAATCAAACACATAGTTACACCCCTCAAAGAAAACCAACCTATTGTTCGCATCTTGGCTCCTAGAGATCACCTTCTCTGGCGACATATCCCCCTTATTCAATTTCACGCATAGTAGGCTCAGAAATGTGTAATGGCTCTCATCGTCCCCTTATGGAGCATTATCCTAGACTATGACATAGTTTACTACCAAGCTTTAGCATCACTTTAGTATAATGTAAAGTTCTCACTTCACTTTAAATAAACTAATTCTCCATATAAGGTCAGTTATGAACATAGTTTATACACCAATATGCCACGAGTTTTTGCAGAAAGTGGCAACCACCAATTATCACACCATTGAAAACCACTCGACATAAGGATCCACGGCCTCTAAACACATATTAATGATGGCATTTAAATTTCATACCATAAGCGCCATGTATATATTTTTGATGTAAGGAATGTGTGGTGGCCCTAAGGTTCCACGTATGGAGCAAACTTCATAGGCAATGACAATTATGCTACCAATGTTTAGCTAACTTCGACATATTGGTGGGGATGGCCGTTAGAGTGAAGCAAAGCATACTTACCAAGGAGTTGAACAATATGCCAAGCGAAATGGTATACACCGGCAACACATTATTGTCATAACTTCAAATATCACTTGACATAAGGAACTAGGCCATAATACACAAATTAAACATCATAGCCACGGTGTATATGTACCTGAAAGCACGTTCTTGGTTTGACATCCCAGCCACAAATGTGTATACTGCAGTACAAGTTCACATATATTAAAAAAAGATATGTGAAGAACTTTCAATAATAGAATCAAAATACTGAAGCAGTTCAAAACATTTGGGATTCTTCTAAAAAATCAATTATTTTCCTTTCTTTTTTCTTCAGTTTTCTCTGCAACCAAAAAAAAAAAAAAAACGCACGCGCGCGCGCACACACACACAATCTAGCAGTTACCTTTGGCGTTGGAGGCTTAAAACCGGTCAAGAAGTAATAAAACCAGTCATTTTTAGACATCAATTCCTTAGCATCTCTCTGTGAGTTGAGGTTTTTTTTTTTTTTTTTTAAGGCAATGAGATCAGTAAACTTGTAGGCTATATAGCTTGTTTATACATCTAAGATCAGTCCATAAACTAAGAAAACAAAGAAATTCATGCTTGTATGATGATCTTTGGCCGAAGAAATCAATAATTTTTAAAAACTAATAAGAAGCTTTCCAACTCACTAACTGTTTGACAAAATGACAATGAGAGCAAAAACTAAAGCACAAATGAGAAGAAAGGAAGACATGCCTATCTTCCGAATGTGGACTTTGTGCTTATGGGGCTGAGGCCGAGCAGGAGCCTCCTTGGCCTCGCGAGCCGCCCTCTTTGCCAAATTCGTCGGGTGGCGCTTCCCCTGAGTGTGGGCCAAGTAATTCCCCTCATTGTTGTCCAGAGTCCAGCAAAGCTTACACTCATAGCTAACCAAAAACAACAAAATCAGAAACGAACCCTAATTTCAATCGGAGGTGAAATTGAAGAGAGAGAGAGAGAGAGAGAGAGAGATAGATAGAGAATTAGGGTTACCATTCGAGGTGGTTGCGCATAAAGTAGGGGTCTTTGGCGAGATCGATAGTTTCTAGGGTGAGTCACTGGAGTCTCCCGGCAGTCGATGGCCTCGTTCTGGGCAGAAGCGGCGCCTTTGCTGTGGGCTTGGAACTTCATTCCCTGTCCATACTGGGTAGTTTTCTACTATCTAGGGCTCGGATTCAGAGCGAAATTGGAGCTTAGATGAGGGAGGGGAACCAATGGAGGCTCGTTGACAACGAGATTGAGCGACGCGAACGATAGAGAGGAAGTAGTGGAGGCCTCTAGTCTAGAGTGGGGAATTTGAGCAACGGTCTAGGGTGGGGAATTTGAGCAACAAGCAGAGCAAAAAAAAAAAAAAAACGGGGGGGGGGGGGGGGGGGGGGGAGGAAGGGGCG